TTACATTTGTTAATTAATTTGATTTTCTCCTAAGCATCTGAACTTTAGTCAAATACATTTTAAAAATGAAGTTCATTTATAAGTATTTTACACATTACCAATTTATAGTTGTTTATGATTAGTGTTGTTACGGGGCCGTTACTTTTGAGGCTTGGGTGTCTTCCACTCGGTTTCTTTGCATCATTAATTCTTATCCCCCTATTTCTCAAAAATTACTAATGGTAATATCTGGTCCTAAGATGTTTGATCTGATGCTATCTGCCGGATAACAGGCTTCTTCATTTGTTTCTTTTCTGGTATAACTATGGTAAGTTCCTGTTTGTGTACTTCCTTGTTAACTTGATATCATGATGTCACAGATTTTGCTGAAAGGAAGTCATTCTGAAGAACTGAAAAAGATTAAGTGTGTTGTTCAGTATGCTGTTGTCATGGCACATCATTTAATTCTTGAAACTTCCTTCCTTATTGATCAGAAGGCAATGTTCTCTACAATTCCTTTAACTGGAATAGCAGATGTGTTGCCAACAAATCAGGAATCCCATACATTGGAGATTTGTAACACTAGTGCTACTTGTCTCGATGACTCTATTGCTGAAACTGGTTCAAATGAAATTGACATTCCCATCTCCAATGGATTTCATGAAGAAGGTTACCATGTAAATGATGATCAAATTGCGAAGTCAGGATTATATGATAGTTCTGCTTTATCTTTGGAGCCATATAATCCAGCCATTTTCTCTGGGTTGTCATCTATTTCCGCCTCTCTGAAGAAAGTAATTGGAAACAATTTTTCTCTTACATCTACTGATCCTTATCGGTCATTGTCTACATATTTTGGATTAAATCAGGGGGAGACAAAGCTCACAGAAGCAGTTCTCTCAACGAAAAGTTTAGAGGTCTCAGAGCAATATGATTCGGAATCTAAATGTGGTCATGATGAAGAGAAATCCCTTGATGATGGACAACCTCAATCTTTTCCGGCTTCCTCTGAAGCTCTACTTGACTTGAACGCTAATGGTGATAATAATGAAGATAAAATACAAAATAAGGAGAACATCAACACAATGTTGGATTCACAAAGTATTTTGGTTCATATGTCTAGCCGAAATGTTTTAAAGGGGACTATGTGTGAGCGAAGCCGTTTTAGCCATATAGTGTTCTACAGGAATTTTGATGTTCCTCTTGGGAAGTTCCTTCGAGATAATTTACTCAATCAGGTCTCTGGGATTTCTTTTCATATTTTTTTTGTACAAATTAACTTGAGCAGTTTTCTCCAGTATGTAATTCTTAACTAGTCGCGGTATTGTTGAGTTTTCCAGTCCCACTGATGGAAGTTTTTGCCTTTTGCAGAGAAGGCAATGTACAATATGTGGTGAACTCTCAGAAGCTCACTCCTACTATTATGCACATCATAATAAGCAGCTGACAATACAAGTTAAACGGCTTCCTAAGCATTTACCTGGGGAACCAGGGGGAAAACTCTGGATGTGGTGTCGCTGTGGCAAGTGCCAAACTGGGAATGGAATGTCAAAATCTACAAAAAGAGTTTTAATTTCAACCGCCGCACGTGGTCTCTCATTTGGAAAGTTCTTGGAGTTAAGTTTTTCAGAACACTATTCATCCTTCGGTTTATCCAGCTGTGGCCATTCTCTCCATAAGGACTTCCTATATTTCTTTGGGTATGGATTACTTCTTCCATTTTCATTTAACAATAATAAATTACTTTCAAATGTATTATTGAAACATGAAACTTTGTCCTTTCTGTTTGAGAGGCCTTTTATGTTTTATAGTAGCAGCTTCTGATTTTTAAATGTTTATGACAATACCTATTAGCTAGGAGTTGGGAAGGTTTATAGTTTCTTATGCTCGGAGACTTGTTTTACTTAGATTTCTTGTTATGTTAATGTAACTGCAGGTTAGGCCCTATGGTTGCAATGTTTAGTTATTCTACAGTTGCCACTTTTACCGTGTCCATGCCTCCACAACGACTAGACTTTAGCAGGTCAATTAGACCAGATTGGCTGAACGAAGAATTTGAAAATGTATGTGTATACTCTGTTCTCACTGTGATTTGATTTCAGACATTATTTATTCCGTGGTAAAATACATATCCTCCATGTTCTCTCACCAACACTCACGCATGTTAATATGTTTGAATTGGTGTTGGTATTTTCTTTAGGTTTACACAAAAAGAAAGCAAATATTTGGAGAGGTTGCATCCTTTTTGGATCACATAAGGTCTCAGTTTGAGGGCTCAATGTTAAACCTTAAAGGTTCCTTAAAATTATTCTCTGATGTTGAAGAGATGCTGAAGCTGGAAGCTTCTGAATTTGAGGTTAGTTTCTCTTCTTTCTGATATGTTATTGGGTGTTCTTGACATCACTTTTTATTCATCAATTTCCTACAAGCAAGCAACTATTTATCCTCTTCAGTACTGTGTGAGACACTGTCATTTTTATTACGAGTGTGTGCTTTTGTTTGTTTCCCTGTTTCAACAGATTGTTATCTCCAGTGAAACTTGATTGTACTATAATTTTCAATAAACGTGATATCTATTCATCAAAGAAATTGTTGCTCTGCCATGTAGTTCAAAATTGAAATCACTACTTTAATTGATATTTTTTTTGGCTGCAGTATTTAGTTGAGCTAATGTGTCTCTAATTCATATGTATCATTGGAAAAATTGCAGCTAAGCATTCAGAATGCTGTTGGAAATAATGGGAATGTAAACTTGGGTTCTCGCAAACTCCTCAGCTTGAACAGAGTAAGGCGGGACCTTCTTCTGGAATCATTCATTTGGGATCGACGCTTGCATTCTCTGCTGTTGCCTGATCCCACGGTGGTAGTCATTGGTGCCAACAACAAAGCGGTGTCAGAGCAACTGAAGTTGCATACAAATAGTGCTGATGGAGAGGACAGTGATGGAGAAAATAAACCCACAGATGATGATAATGCATCTGAAAATACTGGTAATCTGAAAGTCTATTCAGATTCATTTATTGAAATAAATGAATTTTCAGGTGATGAATTATCTTCAAACATTCCCGTTAAAAAATATGAAGGATGTGACTGCGTACACGGCAGTTCCACTGAGTTTGAAAACATTGAAAAGCCAACAGCAGATTGTGTGTGCCCCACGGAATCATCCAAGACAGAGTCCATTGTGGCACTTGATATTTCTGTTTGTCCCAATTTTGGTGACGAAAATCATCAAGAAGAGGATGCACCTATGTCAGGTCATTTAAAAGTGGATAGAACAATCCCAATTTCTACAGATCTTGACTACAATGATTCTATAGTTGATTCAAGTAGGAGTGGTGGATCTCCATGTTCACTGCTATCCAGTTTAGAAAACATAAATGGTTGGTTCTGGATGCCTTTTTCTGAAATCAGACAGATATATATGAAGGATCTTCTAAGAGGAAATGTCCCCAAGTCTGAATCCATCAGAAGTTATACTCCATCACAACTACCCACAGGCTATCAATTAATCAGGGATGAAGCATCAAGGCTACACATACCTCTAGGAACCAATGATTATATAGTGTCAGATTATGAAGGTGAACTCTCAAGTGTAATTGCTTGTGCATTAACATTGCTGAAAGATATGCCTGCTGTAACAGAAGAGTCCAATGAGGATGGGAGGAGAGATAAACTAATTGAAAGTTTACGTAGACTAAGTCGAGCTCCTACTATAACATCCCTACATTGGTCGTCCACTGGTTCCTCTGATTCAGATTCTACCTCTAGTCTGAGCATTTCTTCAGATGAGTCGCGCTTCTCCAGCTTTGATGGGTTAAACTTGTTGGATTCTCTAGTTCCTCCTGATGCTCATAACATAGAGGTTTCTCTAGGGGTTTCGGAATCACTTGGGAAGGGTAAATACTCGGTATTTTGTTTATATGCTAACCAGTTCCGTGATCTTCGAGAGCGGTGCTGCCCATCGGAGCTTGATTATATTGCTTCTCTTAGCCGTTGTAAAAGTTGGGATGCCAAAGGAGGGAAGAGCAAGTCCATTTTCGCTAAAACACTTGATGACAGGTTTATCATAAAGGAAATCAAGAAAACGGAGTATGAGTCATTTGAGAAGTTTGCTGTGCATTATTTCAAGTACATGAATCAATCATTTGATTCCGGAAGCCAAACTTGCCTTGCTAAAGTTCTTGGGATATATCAGGTTTCCTTTAATTTTCTTTTATAATTTTTAAAATCTGAAATCACTTTTATTCTTTGCTCATTTCCTTGAATTTGAACATTTTGCAGGTGATAGTAAGACAGCCTAAAACAGGGAAAGAGTTGTCAAGACATGATCTTATGGTGATGGAGAATCTTGCCTATGGAAGAAATCTTACTCGCCTATATGATCTTAAAGGGGCGTTACATGCTCGATTCAGTTCAGCTGCCGAGGGATCCAGAGACGTTCTTTTGGATCAGAACTTCGTCAACGACATGAATTCCTCTCCATTGTATGTTAGTAACCAAGCCAAGCGTTTCTTGCTACGGGCTGTATGGAATGACACAACTTTCCTCGATGTGAGCTTTAACTTCTTTTGGAATTGATCCTTACTCTGACCAGATACATTCTTCCTTTGAATAGTTTTCAAGATATATATATATATATATATATATATATATATATATATATATATATATATCCTTTGTAGGTTACATCTCACAAATTTAGAATGAGGTATTGACTGAATTGTGTTATCGTGTTTTCATTTGCAGTCGATCAACGTAATGGATTATTCTCTACTTGTTGGGGTGGATACGCAGGGGCAGGAGCTGGTATGTGGGATTATTGATTATCTCAGGCAGTATACTTGGGACAAGCAACTGGAGACATGGGTCAAGTCTTCATTGGTTGTCCCTAAGAACCTATTGCCCACCGTGATTTCTCCTAGGGAATATAAGAAAAGATTCAGAAAGTTCATGTCCACTTACTTTCTGAGTGTTCCTGATCATTGGTGCTCACAGGGATCCAATGACCCTATCAGCTTTGTGGCAATACAGATGATGCATTTTCCAAACCCAATTCCCTAAATGGTATTTATGCATAGTTGTTGTATTCTTTGTTTCTCATTTTCCTTGAACCAACCTTCATTTTTATAGTCAGTTTAAGATTGATGTGTGTGTACATCTAACCCAGTTTCATGCAATTTTTAGCAAATTTCTGGGGATAGTTTAAGCTACCATTCATCTTATTATGTTCATAAATTTGAATGGTTAAGTGAGAACTGTAAAGAGCCGATGTTATGGGAAGACTTTGAATGTGAAATCAATGAAAAGTTTCAGCTACCAGATGTCTTCTTGGTGCCTTATGTTTTGTAGTATTTGTATGTATTTTTCTATTAATATATTAAACATTACTATATAGTATAATTTTAGTACCTATAAAATTCAATGCTAAGATTCAATTCTTGAACTTTTATTAATTTATCAAACACTACCTTAAATCTATTCACGAACTAAGAGGACGAGTAGGCTGAACTTTTACTTCGAACCAATCCAATCTGATTTGAGTTGCAACTAAATATTAAATTTCTTTTATTTGAACTTAATCTCGAAAATATACAAATATCATCATACAAATATATTTTTAAATATTTTATAAAAGAGGGACAATATAATTATACAGTGTAAAAATAAAAAAGAAATATTGACAAATATAAATTGATGGCCGAAATTATTCATTTTTTAACGTAACAATCTCATTCGGAGACGGAGCTCTGTTGGGGCCCAAACGGGCTTCGGTTTTTGTAAAAATTTTATATATTCGATAAATTTTGATCTAATATTAGTTTGGTTCATGTAAAAATAAGTATTCAAATTAAAAAATATAAGAATTTATTAAATATTTAATTAAGTAGGGCCAAATTAAAGAAAGATAATGTCATATTCTCAAACTTTTTAGTCTAATAACAATTTAGGTCATTGTAAATTTAAATATTAGACAAATAGACATTGTTTTTGGAATTTTGAGTTTAAATACCTAATAAACTATTGTATTTTTCTTAAAAAGTTTAATGTTTCGGTCCCTGCCAATATTTAATCATGGTTCTGTCCATGATCTCATTATTTTTAATTTTTAATCTCAATCGGTTTTCCATGTAATTGGATCTACTTCTTTGTAAAATATGAAAAGCTTAATATTTCGACTCATGCTAATATTTAATCCTGGCACGGAGTGTTTTGCTATCAATTGTTTTTTCTCATTTATGTTGTGTGATTGTAAGTTGGTATGATGCCGGTTGGGACACTCTTTTTCCTCCATTTAGGCATAGGGAAAGTTTTTAACGAGACCCCTCCGGCTTCATTATTTTATGTGATTTATATCCTTAATCCTTACAAAACCCCTTTAAAAAATGAATAGTTAATGAGCCTTTAACCTGTGCTAAATCTAAATCTTAACATATTTCTTTTAGATTAGATTCATAGTTCAATGCGACTTGATTCATGAACAAATAATCTTACAAATTTTAATTATATTTTACAATAAAATATTTATCAACTCCAACATATCAAGTCATCGTTGAAAGAACACATTATTAATGAAAAATCCATATTGAATCACTTATTTTAATTATAATCAAACCCTTAACATTGGAAAGTGTAAAACTAAAATCAAGTACTAGTGTGGAGCAATAATTTCTTCAACGATTTAGGGAACTTGTGGGGTTCAATTGTTTCAATCCATGAAGAAACAAGTAATACAGTCCGTTTCGATGAAGCCATATTGCTGTTGGAAGTGCAATGTGCTTCGACGGTCCTGGAGAAATGTTCTGTTATCATTAATGGTAGGGTTTTCTCCATTAAAATTCTTACGGAGGTTCATGAAGAAGAAAGAGAGTTCATTGATGGCACTTCGGCCGGTGGTGGGGCGGTGAATCCAACAGTAGACGGTGAAGAGAGTTTTCCTAGGTTGCAGGAGGGTTCCGCTGCAGATACTGGTTTCGAGGTAGACTTTATTGAAGATAGTTTCAATGAAACTCAAAGTAAGATGTGTAAAGATGGTACTCTGACATGCAGGTTCCCGCATGTTGTTCCTTTTGTGGGAAATAAGGAGGTTGTCGGAGATGGTTTATTCGACGTGCCCATATTGTCTAATGATGGGCCTTTAAAATTGTTGGTGGATGATAGCATTGGTTTAGTTGGTATTTATCGATAGGCAGCCCATACTGGATTGACCCAATCTATCTCCGGTAGTTCTAGATGATTAGAAGTTCCAATAGTAGAAGTTTCAGCTCTTCAAGGCAGAGTGGAAGGAAATCGGGTAGAAGCATCTTTGGTTATCAAAGAGAAAATCCCTTTCAATTTAGAGGGAGTTATAAATTCTGCTGTGGGCTTGGCAGAGAACGGTGGTAGCAAAGTTTCTCTTCTACAGATTGGTAGAGAGGCACATTGTCGAATTAATTCCTTTAGAAAAAAGAAGAAGAAGAGTGCGAAGGATAGGAGAGGACTAGTTCCGGTAATGCTCAGAATTGGGTTGGTCCTTCCAGAGGGGTTAATTTCGTTCGGCCACTTGGGAGTGAAAACGAAGCTGTGGCAACCTTAGCAGTATGGATTCTTTGGGAGTGCAGTTTGGAGCTTCAAGGAAGAGGGTGCTTGAGAGATTGGAGTCCACTTTTCATTTGGCTGGTTAGTATGGAGAAGTATTCATTCCCTGGAATTTTGTTTCGGTCCTTGTCCGAGATTACTGGTAGCAATTGCAATTTGGGAGTTGTTTCCTTTGGAAGTTCTGCAAGCACTTGATTCCCTCTATTTTTTGGGTGACTGCAAGCTCTAATTCAAGCTTCAAGGCAATTTTTTCTTGGATTAGGGTCAGTAAGTGAGTATCCATTTCTTAGTGTGTTGCCTTCGGTCAAGTTCTGGGTGATTTTGCTGTTTCATTCTGTTGTTAAGTTTCATTCCAATGGTCTTGCTGTGTGTATGTTTCTCAGTGTGTCCTCTATTCATATTGTCCGTTTGTCTGTGTTGGTCTTATTATGTGTCGGATTGGGGTTTGTGGTTGAATGATGTAAGAGTTTTATGTGTATTTGATCATTACCACCAAAGGTACACTCTTTTTCCTCCATTTAGGATTAGGGAAGTTTTTACCCTTTTAAAAAAAAAAAAAAATCAAGTACTAGTGGTGGTATATCGTAGAATTCCAGCGGTAGAACGCGTGGTGTCAGAGGAAGGTCGAGCAGTGATGTAATAATGCCCCAGATTTTGGTTCGCACACAACAAAGCATCAATCACTTGGTATGGAGCGAGGGTTAGCGAATTTGTAAAAGACCGTCTGCTGTAAGCCCCTCTTTGTCCAACAATGGTCAGGCTGTGGGATGCGATACCGAACACCATTGTTTCATTAACAGCATTTATTATGCGAACAATGTAAAGGCCCTGGTAATCTACTTGATACTCAAACATCGTATCTGCAACATTCAAAAACAATTATCAAAGTTGTCGGATTATTACAAGAAAAGTTCATGCATAGAAAGTGTAAAACAATAGTGCATATACGTACCGTTGCTGCATCCATTTGTTTCTCCAGTATGGTCATCGATCGTGTAAACATCGGATTGGCCAAGAGCTATGCTTTGATTGGCTTCCGTTAACTCTTCCCTGAATCACTCTCCTGAAACAAGTGTTAAGATTCAGACAAGCTTAACTTACAAAGTATATGAACAAAACAATAATACATACATACATATATATATATATATATATACCGATTATAATTGTTTTATCCGAATCAGGCGTAGGGAAAGGGTAGTCTTCATTGGCTGCCGGCAGAACGATAAAGGCGCCGTGGACGGTTGCTCTAGCCCATGCACTGGTAGCGTGCCACCATAGAGTCCCTATCTTATCGTCTAATTCGATCTCGTAATTGAAGTTTCTCCCTGGCTGGATTAATTGATTTGAACCATTATTTGAATCCTCAATGCCTTCCCTACAAAAACACATATTTGATTAATCATTACATCAGGAACTCGTAAAAGCTGGCGGAAACTGTGTAAACGTTGTATATAATCTTACCACATGATGGAAACAGCGGTGTTTCCTTGATTGTGGACATTGACAAAAACTGTGTCCCCTCTACGAGCCCGAATCTCAGGTCCTGGGAAGCTGCCATTTACGGTCAAGATGTTCTTCGTGCTGCACAGCTTTGTAAAGTTGGATTCTTGCAACTGATTTAAACACAGATACGAAACCAACCTAGAATCAAACTTCTGCAATACTCGTAAATAACACAACAGAAGAAGGATGCGAGAAATTACTTACAAAGAATTCGTAATGGTGAACATCAGCCATGGATAACACAAGGATATTAAGGAACACGAGCCCTGTTAACCACATCAACCCTTGCTTTTGAGAACCCATTTTTTTCTATGTATCTGTGTTCTTCAGTTCTCCCGTGTTTTTGTAATATTTATTGGTTTTGATTGATTTCTTAATTACTTATAAAAGAAGAGCCGCTGGGCCAAGTCTTTTTGTTGGTGCTGAGGAAGAGATGAATTATTGAGTGAAAAGAAGGTGAAGTTTCTGAAATCAGCATCCCAAATCTGAAATTTTAAAGGTCAACAACATTTGCGAAAGCGAAATGATGGTCAAATCAAACAAATATTTAAGTTGATCCTTTACTAATAGTTTGTCCTTTGAAGGCTTAAAGATCTTATTTTTTTTAATAATATACCCAACAACATGGAAACCAGTTGGCTGATATTGTAGCACTAGCAGCTTCTTTTTGGTTTTTCGTATAAGTTTATCGATTTGGTTAAATTAACGTTGTCCAAACACCCCACCATAATCATAAAATTAAAAAAGGTTGATTATTAAAAGGGTAAAGTGTATAAATAGTCCATTAACTTTTAGTACGCCTACATTTTGCTCACCCAACTTTTGAAACTTCTACACAATCATCAAACTGTTACTTTGTTTTTAGTAAGATGTAGGCCGTTATCTCCCGTTAGGGTTAGCTGACATAAGACTTAACGGACATTAACTCCCTCTTCATCGTCTTCTTCTTCTTCTCCCTTTTTTCCTTTTTAACAAACGACAGGTGGAGGCACGACCGACTGGGTTTTAGTTGGAATGGCATAAGGAATCCAACGGTGGTGGCGGTGTGGCGAACGGACGACCCAATCGACCAAAAATTGATGAAAACTAAAAAGGGCGTTGGGATTTTCCGACAAGATTCTGGGCCCTCTCTACGGCAAACGGAGGTGAGTTTCGATGAGTGGCTAGCGTGGTTTTGGTCGGAATGGGGCGGTGCTCCTATTGGTACCAGATGTGAAGGCCACCGACGATTGACAACAAAGATCAAGACGAGTGTTCGAACGATCTTCTTGATATTTGGGATGAAAGGTGGATGGTGAGTATGAATCAAGGGTCGGGAGGCGACGTCGGTAACGATGGTGAATGTGGTGTGAGCCATCGCTAATCGGAGGAAGGATGAGAGAAAAAGAAGAATAAGAAGACGGGGATTAACAAGAGTTCAGTGTTAGCTAAAACTAACGGGAGGTAACGACATGGACCTTACTGAAAGCGAAGTAAAAGTTCGATGATTGTTTTGTAAGTTTAAAAAGTTGGGTGACCAAAAACATTTTTAAGATATATATATATATATTGATATAAAATTTATTAATGATATAAAAAATTCAAATTACATGATGGATACAAACCATATTTTGAACAATAGAAAATAAAATAAAAAACTTAAGATGAACATTTGCTCATCCTAATTTACATGTGTGTATACCATTGGTTGGTCTAGTGACAAAGATACGTTAATCCTCCCTCCAAGGCCCAAGTTCGGTTTCCTCAACTTTCCCTTCTTTAATTTATTTTCCTTCGATTAGATAATAAATTAAAACTAAAATTAAATTAATACTAAAATGTATAAATAATAAGAATATAAATAAAAAATGGAATATATAGTGAAGTTAATTAAATGTTTATGTAAATATAAATATTTTTATTGACGTGATATTACACATGGACATGTCATATATGTATTTTAATCTATATAAACATGTCTCTTTAATAAGAAGTATTGACTGTTAGTCAATTAACGATTTCTATCTAATCATGAGATATTTTGTCTTGAAATAAAACGTTGAGAGTCTAAGTGCTTTAAAAAAAACAGTATATAGGTCAAACTGAACAATTTTATTAAACGTTAGGTACTAATTTTATTATTATACCTATTTTTTTAATGTCGAAAAATATAATGCAAATAGGTGTTACTTCTTGAATCTGATACTGCCACTTGGAATGAAGCATCTTCAAATTTCAGGGACTCTGGGCCTACTTAAAAGATTTCTAGTAATCATGTCTTAATTCAGTGGGTATATTCCCCGCTTTGAAATCTAAGAGAAAATAACTGAACTATCTGTAGAGAGCTTGAGTTGCAGCGCCGTGCTCAGCTCCGTTTGTGGTCACTCTGACTTCGATTACCAATGTATGCCGGTGCTCCGTTACGATCCAGATCATTTCGCATTCTTCACCGTCGCCAGCTGTTTCATGGAGAACCATCCATTATCTACCTGTAATCCAAGGTGATCTGTCTAAAAACCAGGAAAATTTCACACTTTCAGTTTCGAGTGCCATTGTGACCATTCATCTCTTGATGTTGGTGGTCGTTGGTAAAATGTCGTGGTGGTGGTGGTGCCTGGTGACTCTTCTCGTTCCTGGCGTTTGGTGGAATTCAATCTCTCGAAAAGAAAAAAGGCTTTTGAATGGAAAAGTGAAATAAATTAAAATAATAATAATAATAATAATGGTGGCAGCCGACGAAAACCGATAGTGCTTGGCGACCATCGATAATAGGAGATTTTGATCGAATTCATTAGTTAAATTAATATTTTATTTAAATTTTGATAGTTAAAATGATATGCCATTTAAAGTTTAGGATCAAATAATATTATTTCTAAATTTAAGAGTCAAATTAAAAATTAATCCCTTTTAACTAACACATCACATCATTAAATTATAATGAGGTAACAGTTCAAAGATTAAAATATAACAATCAATAAGAATATTAAAATTTAATAAATCGATAAGGTAAGTGATTAAACTTTAAATACTTTAAATTTAAGGAGTAAAATAAGTAAAGTGACCATTTCAATCTTTAATGGTCACGTATCCATCTTATCTCTATCATCAGGGTTCAGGGAAGCTGCAGGGGCAACCGCCAGCAAGTAACTTAAAATATTATGAAACAACTTAGCAGCCACGACAAGATATAACACAAGCTTAATTAAGATAAAGAAAACTACATTAGTGAAGCATCGTCAACAACTCGACATATATAATAGGCTTACAGCTGACATTTTCCCATGGTCCAATTGGGTGTGTAATGATCCAAAACCTAACTGGATACATGCAATCTGATGTGTACTTTTCTGACCCAAAATCAAATTTTAATATGCGCTTTCGAAGATTCTTTCTCTTTTTCTCTCTCTTTCCGAAAAAAGAAACCAAGCTTTCTTCTCTATAAATGGTTGGAGTTCATGACCCAAAAACAGAGACAAGAAAAGTCAGGGACGAGCTAAGATCACATTGGAGAGATCGAAAAGAGTTTACAGAAGCTGTGTTTTCTGGGGGTTTTATTTCTCAGCACTTTGTTCCTCTGCAGTGCCGATGTGCATCACTATGAATTCTTCGTGAGTGTTTCCTTCCCTTCACCTACTCTTAAATATAGCTTAATCACTATGAATTCATAAAAGGACTTCAATTATTGCCGGTGCGAGAGGCAAACTTTACGAAGCTATGCAACACAATGCCAATGCTGGTCGTAAACGACAGCTATCCTGGACCTGAGATTCGTGTTCACAGAGGTGATACTGTCTTCGTTAATGTTCATAATCAGGGAAACTATGGTCTCACCATTCACTGGTAATTGACTTTTTCTTTTTTCCAATGGTATTTTCCTGAAGAATTCAAGTAATAAGTGATTAAATTAATCATGTTGCTGCAGGCACGGTATGAAAAACCAAGAAATCCATGGTCCGATGGTCCCGAATTCATAACTCAATGCCCAATTCGACCAGGAACCAACTTCACGTACCAAGTCATATTGTCGGATGAAATAGGAACCCTATGGTGGCATGCTCACAGTGACTGGACTCGCGGTTCCATCCAGGGAGCCTTTATCATTTTACCAGCCAAGTACGAAACTTATCCGTTCTCCATACCTGATGCTGATCAAACAATCATGCTTCGTAAGCATATCCTTCAACTTTCCGCTCTGCGATCTTAAGTTCTTTACAAAATTATTATATGAATCTTTATTTGATTGTTCTTTTTTAATTCGTATTGACAGAAACATGGTACAATAAAGACTACAAGTAAATGATTGATGAAGCAGTTGCAACGGGTACCACTCCTCGCCAACCAGATGCTTATGCCATCAACGGACACTTAGGTGACATGTACGGATGCCCCAATGGTAAGTTCTAGCATTACTGAATTCAGATCGAGATATAAACCTTGGAATCAGTTGTTCTTAATGTTAATTGAACTCTTATATTGGCTGTTGCAGATACAATATTTCGTATGCAAGTTAATTATGGGAGTACATACCTTCTCCGCAATGAATGAACCAAAATTCTTCTCCATCTCGAATCACACCCTCACACTCGTCGCCCAAGATGCATCCTACGTTAAAAGATTTACCAGCAACTATATAATGATCAACCCTGGACAAACCATGAATGTTTTAGTGGTCGCCAACCAAAACGTCGGCCGATATTACATGGCTACTATGCCTTTCTCCGATGCCGCTTTTCGGCCTGTCGACTTCATTACTACAGGAGTTTTCGAATATACAAACAGTGCGGCTGGATTGAATGCTTCCTTGGTAACACTTCCATCAATTAACGATACGGATGCTACGAATAGATTCATCAGCCGAATTAGGAATACGAGGGTCCGTCAGAATCCTCGATTGAACGTGCCGAAGAATTCCAGAATCAACAGACGAGTTTACATTGCAATCGCCACAAACAACTTGCCTTGAAACACCTCACAGTGTCTTGGACCAGATACACTTGCTGCAAGTTTGAACAATGTCAGCTTTGTTTTGCCGCGTACTGACATTCTCCAAGCATACTAAAACAGGTATGTAGGCATAGTTATAGCAATTTTGGTAGTTTCATTAACTCCTGCTAATTCTTAAAAAATATTCTTGCAAATCCAGGAGCATCAATGGTGTTTATACCGAAGATTTCCCCCTTAATCCACCGGAAGTCTATGATTTCACCGGCAACGTAACTAATACTGTGAATAGGCAAGCTACTTCAGGGACGAGGGCTGTTGTGCTAAATTACGGCGATGCAGTGGAGATTGTGTTTCAAGCAACCCAGCTTGGTGCGGGTGGAAGTCACCCGATCCATTTGCATGGTTTTAGCTTTTATTGGGTGGGAACCGGTACCGGAAATTTCAAC